AGTTTACTTTGATATTAATAGACATGTTTCCTTCGCGGTTAATGAGGTTCAGAGAGCCTGGGGCGATACACGAGCGGGAACGTAAAAAATATAAAATACAATGCGAAAAAAAGTTATCAAGCTTCGTCCGAATAAAATGTCCCGGCACAGCCAGCAGAACCAGCACCACGCTCTCTCTCCACTCCACCTCTACCGCTCATACATGACTTTTCCACAGCTCTCCGGCGAGTTTCACGTTAAAAAGGAAAAGTTGCGCGTCATTTTTCGTTTCCAAGGTCTCGTTCAAAGCGGAGCAAAGAGCAAAAGGCAAAGAAGAGGATGAGCCCCAGCGGCCTCTTTGCGCCAGAGAGAAGGAAAATGACGTATATATTTTCCCATGCACGCGCGTAAGGGGGAGAGAGAAAGAGAGATAATATAATGAATACATTTGACGGCAATGCCGCGCGGCACGGAGGACCCCGCCGCGGGCCGCCGGGGGGACCTCATCAGGCCGAGAGCCGGGCGTTACGACGTTGACATGTCCACTGCGAAAATAAAAGACTTTAATTTGATTCTTGTACCGCAGTCGTCGGTTGCGTTGGTGCGTTTGGTCTCGGTTTGGTCACGCTTGTCAGTCCGCGGGGGTTGTAGTGTTGGCTAACAGATAGCCAACCACTCTACACTTCACTTTACAGAGGAAAAGAGAAAGAGAGGGTGCGAGCGAGAGCGCGTGAGCGCTTGTCCAGCTCCGCAGGGGGACTTATCAGAGAGACTCGCAGCGTGCCAACGTAGCGGGCCAAAATGTGCTAAATGAGTCGTATCTCTTACCGCATTGCACCATGCGCCTGCGGACGTGCGTGGACTGCGAATGCCAAGAGACAACAACAATAATAGTGGTAAAAATAATAGAAGTAGTAGGTAGGTGGATTAGATAAGAGAACTGTAAAAGCGGGCGAAAAACAAATACGAAAAAGAGAGAGAGACGCAGTCGTAAAAGACACGGAGAAATTGCACATGCCGTGCGGGGCGACGCGGGGCGTGGTGTGGCGGGGAACGCCCGTGTCTGCCCGCCACACATTGCTCCTCGTTGTCACCCCAGCGCGCCCCCGGAGCCGCACCGCAGCCCCTCCCCCGCGCCCCGGATAAAATATCAGCAGCTTCGTGACATTAATTTTTTAGCGCCCGAATGATGGCGCAATCTCCTATAACAGGGGCCTTCGCACCAACCAGCAGCAGCTGCCGCACAGCCTAGGCGGGTGGGAGAGTGGAGGTTTATCTTATGCGGGTGAGGGGGGTGGGAGAGAGAGGAAGAGGTGCAGCATAACTCTCTCCAGGGCCGTTGCGACGTGTCCCACAACAGG